CTCCACATAGCACGGAGAAGCGTGCTGCTCTAAATCTTACAAAAGTTCATCGCATATAAATAAGATTATAAAAACTACTTTTTTCTTGCTTAACGTTGTCCATCTAATCTACCTGATAAAACATGCACAAAATCCACAAAAATTTCACTATTCTAGACCTAAGAAAACACATTTTCCATGAAATATGTAAGAAAAAAGAGATTTTAAAATTTAAAATGAAGTGGGAGAAAAGCATAGACCTGGGTATTGGACTAATTACTCCAAAGACGAATTTTAGCCCCAAACGAATCTCCCTCTTTGAGTCCATACAAAACCAGCACAGTCTACTCCTTTCTCCTAATCTCGTCCAACAATCACTATTCAATCTCCATGATTGGCCTTCTGTATCCCTTTAATACGAAAGGAAGTGTGAAATTTACAAACATTTCTCACCGTTCGCTGAATAATTTCTAAGTAAGAGAAATTATTTTCAATAGCATAGTTCTTACAAAATTATTTCAGAAGCTAGAATTCACCATCATCCCGAAGTTATCTTTGAATAAAACTAATACCATGCCCATTTATGCAACCCAAAATGAAACACGATAATCAAATGAAAATTTAAGAAAAATGATGATTAATTCAAAATCAGATGAAGATGAATCACACACGGCACACACTTAGCGATTGATAAACAACATTTATGTAATATTCTGTAGATTTTTGGAGAACCATAGTACTGGACACTCAACTTACAAACGAGCCTCCGAAAAAATTCTTCTCCTTCAAGCTTTCGACAGTTTCGTTATTGGTTTCTTTAAGAGGCCTTCTCGTTTAGAATGACAAATTTGTTGAAGAGGCGTGGTTGGTGGTGTAGGAAAATGGAGAAAGGGTGTTTCTTTGTCAGATTGACGTGAACTGAGAAAATGTGAAGGCATGGCTATGCTAAAATTTGTGATTTTACTAATTGTGTAAAAAAAATGAAAACAAAAGAGGGAAATCCGTATGGGAAGATGTATATTTTTGACAGTGTCCAGTCCATTCATTCGCTCTTTTATATATGTAGGATACAAACAAAAGACTACAAGATTAGGAGAATGCCTGGCCTAAAGAGAAAAACAAGAACTTACCCACTCAAAGATAGTGAAGACAAAATATAAAAGATGAAGAAAAAAATTAATATCTTGCGTCTCACGCCAAATTTTCATGTGTCTTATGATATACTTATAAGAGTCTTCGTTATAATAAAAAATTCACTAGTCGAGAGAGAGCTTCAAACTATCAAGTCAAATTGAAAAATCTCTCATCTCATCGATCTCTCCATATACAGAGTCAAACCATCATTTCTCATGGTCACAAGGTCGATGAAAGAAAGGTTTATAGCTGAGATTAAATCCATATGCTAGTAGTTTTGGTCGTGTTGCCTTGGTACTTGAACGCCTCCGATTGAAGAAGAAGTAGCTCCTTCAATTGAAATTTTTTGAAACCACTTGAACCTCAATCGCAGATGTGTCTTTAAATGTATACTTGGACATGTTTTTTCTTATATTTGTTAGTTGATTAAATAAATAATTTATCTATTGTTTATTTATTTAATTCAATAAAATTTTATTAATTGAGCATGCAATTGATAAAGCCTGCGATCCTCATACGATACAATAGGTTAGAAACTTTGTGAATTATTGCGAGTCATGACTTAAAATTTAATCAATAAATTATTTATTCATGACTAATAAATACAAATACACATTGTCCTAACAAAGTGATAATGTCTATTAAATTGACGGGTTGGACCATTTTTTTCTTGACCGTAAAACAGTGAATTCTGTATAAAGATCATGTAATATTTTTTTTAATACTAAACATTAATTGTGTCGTATTAAAATATCAATCGATCATTGAATAAACTATCTAAACTCTAAGGAAAACGAGCTCAAGACTATGAAATGTCAATTAATGAGATCAGCGTATACAATTGACGCTTATATATTTTGGAGAGAACGTATGTTCGAAGTTAAGGGATTTGTCAAGCTTATAAGGGAGAAATCTGATTTAAATTCAAGCTCGATAATTTAGCTAAAGATTCAATGATATATGTGTGTGATGTGATTAAAAGAAATTGTTTGAAATTTATTATGAGGAATTTAAAGGAGGTTTCCAACTTTGTATAATTGTTAATGTAAAGGAATGGTTGAACAAGAAGAAAATGAATTGTGTTGTAGATAGTAAGTTTTTTGGGGTTCATTAATGAATGACAATTTTACCCCTACGGTCCTAAAAATTATTACCATTATATCCCTGATTCTTATCTATAAATATAAGGATTTTGTTCTTAATAAAACACATAAAGAATTTATTGACTTTCATTCTCTTTCTTTCATTTTTTTTCCTCTCTTTTCATAACAGCTTGACTTGGAACTTGTTTGATACAGCTAAAAAGTCAATTAAAATCAATTTTTTTACCGTTATTTCATTATTTCAACCATCATTTTTGAATTCTTCTCTCACAGTTAGGGTCCACTTTATGTCTAACGATCAAAAAATCAATTATCAAAATCTATACCAAATAAGCACTAAATAATATTTAGTTGCTTTTCTCTTTTTATGAATCCCTCCTTCAGCTTTTCCATATTGGTAAAATCAATTTTATATGTGATAACATTCATAAATAATAAGCAAATCCATTTCTTTCCTAGATAAACTCAAAGCTACATATATGAGCTAAAAAAAAGTTTACTTATATGCAAATAACTAAGTTTTAATCTAAATTTTAAGTAGGAAGCAATTGAGTGTTCTATATTATATATTGAATAGGAAAGTTTTCTATTGTGAAGTTTATTGACTTATAATTGATTCTCTTCTTGTAGCCGTTGGCATTTTGCCGAATGACTTTTAATTTGTATCTTTCTCCATGCTCATTTCTAGTTTTATGTTTCTGCTGCATTAACTACTCGTTTGGGTGACATTTTATCCCCAAGACATAGATGCATACAATGAAAAATCAAATTACATAAATCTTGGTCGTGTCCAGATCAATTTTTTTACCTATAAAAAACTGAAACGGGTTGGGAGGGGACAAGAGCTAAAGACCATTTTTCGCTAAGAAAGTGCAAATTGTAAAAATACGCATCGCGTTCAAGTAGTAAAGTAGATTTTTTGAGTCCAAGTTATTGATCCGTCGAGAAATATTTACTTTTGATTACACTACTTTAATTAATTTAATAATAGCAATAAAAAGAAACATATAATTAAAATTATGATTTTAAAATAAAGAAAAATTAACTAAAAATTACAAAATAAGAAAACATAAACACTTGTCAAATTTTGGAGAAAAACGTGGTTGGGATTCATGGTTTCGCTTAACTGTTACATAATTAATTTCTCCGCAAACTAATTAATAAATTACTCATTTACGATGTTGGACCAAATTTTTCATTTTAGTTAATTACCTCTTTCGAGCGAAATTAAACGAATTGATCGATTTAACGTACAATATCTTTATGTCGATTAAAACCAAGCAACCCCATTAAATCTTTGTACACATAGCTCAATGAATTACCTAGGGTTAGGGGTATATTTCTATCATCTTCAAGAACCTAGAGTTTCTACTATTTGATCTAAAATACACAATTTTCTTTTACACGATGTACAAATCACGAAACATAATCATTCATTGACCACGTAAATGAAAATGCAAGAAACAAAATAGCAAATGCACTCATACACATGGAAATAAAATTTTAATATTAAAAAGCAAATAATGAAACAGTGCTAGGTTAAACTCCAATTATAAATCCCAACACAAATAACTAACCCATTTTTATAGAAATGATAAAAATGAGAATATTTAAAACAATATATTTCAAGTTTGACAAAAATAATGAAGAAAATACAAGGTTATAGATAAAACCATTTTTGTTGAACTTTTAAAGATGAAATGGACTTCTCTTGAATTTTCCAAATATTGCTCCAATTCTTTAGATGCATTCTCTTTCTCTCTTGGTTTTGCCCCCAAAATTACAAGTAAATCAAAAGAAAAATAAAAGAAAATGAAAGGAAAAGAAAAGGGAAGAGGGAGAATGATCACAGGGTGCCCCCGTTCCTAACTTTAAAACCGTCAAAACTTTTTGAAAATTGCAATCCAAGTCCTCAAGTTTTGGGAAAGCATTCAAAACAGTCTCCGATTTTTAAAGTGGCGCCTATGCACCAACTTTCTGTTAAAAACACAACAATTTGTTCCATTTAGCAGCAAAGTCTCCCCCAATAAATGCATATTAGGTCCCTCAATTTTGATCTTATATAATTTGATTCTTAGATTTTAGCTTTCATATCAATCGTGCTCTCCCAAATTTAGAAACACAGTCCCTTGAACTTTCTACACTTGTACAATTTGGTCTCCAACTTCATAATTTTGTACTTTTTGGGTCTCTTTTCACTTCATTTTGCTTTGTTCTAATTCCTTTTGGAGTTTTAACCTACAAAAGCCATAATTACACAATTGAAAGTAGAAATTTCCTCAATTTAATTAATAGTTACCTGGTCAAAGTATCTAGTAAGTGTGCAAAAATACACATCATCCATACCAGTCCCTCTTAAATACATCAGACTTTTATTCACTTTTTTATCACACATTTCATGAACCACCGACTTTTATTAATTTTGACAATATCACACAACCCATTAACCTTTCAATGTTATAGCTTCGTTGAACTCTTTTGGGCCGAAATCATCCACTTGGCTTTTAAAATTCGTCTCTTGTTGAAACATTACTACATCTTTACTTCAAATTGATATATAAATAAAATGTGAAAATAAAAAGGAAAAAGCAAGAGAGAGAAAAACAGGTAGGGAGGGGACTAGGGGTGTGAACAAGGACAGAGTGAAGGAAAAAAATGTGAGAAAAATTTTATTTTTAATCCATTAGCCCACCATTTTGTATATTCAACCTGGCCCAAAAATTTATTTTAATACCCAATAGACAATAGCCCATTGTCCCAACACCCAATTATACAGCAAAATGAACATAATAGGACCATAAGAGAATAAGAATTGAAACCCTACCCTAGGACCCGAAGGTCCTGAACGGCCGAACGCGGAACGCCCTCATTGTACGGGTTTGAATTTATAATTTCTTTGTTTTAAATTTCAGTTAAGTTCATGTATGTGTTTGTTGTTTGGGCTTTTGGGATTAAATTTCAATTAAGTTCAGATTTATTGTTGGTATCAAAATTTTTTTTTAAATTTTAATTTTTTTAAGGTTAATCACGTGAAGGGCTTCCGGGGACTGGCCGACTGGGATTATGTAATTAGAGTTTTGTGAATTGCGTTTAGAATAATTCTGGAGTTTGTCCTTCTAAAAAACTTTTTATTTAATATTTTTTAGCTTTGCTGAATATGTTTAGTTTTAAATTTTTAATAAGATTTATTTGTGGACCTGTGCACTTTTTTTAATTGGAATTAGGCTTTAGTGAACCCATTAACGAGTTATGGCATCACATATTAATGGCACTTTGGACCTTAGCAAATCCTTTGTACAGAGAATGAAGTTTAACTTTGATATTTATGTGTTTTAGTCACTAATTTAAACCATTTAAAAGCAGAAAGAGTCACAAATAAAGTTACTACAAATTAATGTCTGTTCGATTAGTTTTCTTTCCGCTGTTCTATTTTCCTTTCTGACATAGTTTTGTAATAGGAATGCTTAACTAATTATTTTCTTAAGCTTAGAGCTGTGAGATTATAAAAATTGAGATATTCTTTTGGCATTTTAGTATCAAAATGACAGTTAGCATTTAAGTGTCAAAATGAGAGTTACCTAACTTACCTTGTCTTCATGTGATTTAAATGTTGTTTACTTTGGGTTTGGATATATCCTTCACTTTCATTCCCTGCCCAGATTTACAACGCATCTCTCTCTCTAACTCTCTCTCTCGGTCTCTACAGATTCAGTGATCTCATGGAATAGGGCCTGAAATAGTTTTATTGTTTGGGGTTTTCACAAATTTTCCACTATTCTGCTGCCTAGATACTTCAAGCACAGCAATTTTTCCAGTTTCATTCTGTCTGGTGAATCCAATACTTTTTCTTGTAAGTAATTGATCGTTTATAATTATCTTCTGCCATTGATGTATACTTATGTTTAATACGATATTTGGATCTGGATATGAGTTTATGATAATTCTTAGATTTGGTGTTAATTTTTAACTAGTTATAATATTTTTGAAAGGTTGGATAAGTGGTTAAAATGTTGCTAGTGGATTGTTTTTGGATTGTTGGGATACTTAAGTGTTTTGATTTTTTTTATGCTTTTAGCTTTTAATATGGAACCAAATCGACCTTTTGCCAAGAAAGGAAGAACCTTATTATCTTTCTTTACAAAGAGCGACAAATCCAAGGATGCTCCAACTCCTCCGGTACCCAATTCTCCAATTGCTACTCTAACTCCTACGGTACCCAATCCTCCAATTGCATCTCCTGAAATTGAACGGTCTTCATCTTTCAATGTTGAGTTAGAACCATCTGATTCTATAGAACGAGACCCAGGAAAAAGAAAGCAAATTTATGAATATCCGTTTAATGAACGTGATCAAATTAGGCGTGCCTATTTTAAAGCTGGGCCTTATCAACCAAAACTTTTGGAGTATCAAAGCAAAGAATTTGGAAAACAGAAATGTCGATTTCAAGAGCATTGGTACAATCAGTATTCTTGTTGGAGTATTCGCCTTCAACACATAAGGCATATTGCTTTTTCTGCTTTCTTTTTCTCAATGAAAGGGTTCCACCTAATATTTCATCATTGGTTACTGTTGGATTTGATGGTTGGAAGAGGGTTGGCCAGGGGAGTAAATGTGCATTTCTTGTTCATATTGGTACAACGTCTTCATCATATCATAATGGCTATAGCCTATAAGAGAAGAGCTGAAGATCTAATGAAACCAATTCAACATATTGACAAGATAATACACGTTGTATTAAGTGAGGAAAAATAGAAAAATCGTTTGTGTCTAAAGACCACAATTATGAGTGTTCGATGGCTAGCACTTCAAAGTTGTTCATTTAGAGGCGATGATGAATCTCCATCTTCATCGAATCGTGGGAACTTTCTTGAAATGGTAGATGCATTTGGAAAAATGAATACAAAAATAGGAGAAGTTGTGTTGGGTAATGCTCCAAAAAATGCTACATACACATCTCCAAACATTCAAAAAGAGATTTTGAGCATTATGGCTAATAGAGTAAGACAGAGAATCCGTAAAGAAATTGGGGATGCAAAGTGTAGTATTCTTGTTGATGAAGCTCGAGATACACCTTCACAAGAACAAATAGCTATTATCTTGAGGTTTGTGAATGGTAATGAAATTTTGACAGAGCGTTTTTTTGCAATCAAAAGTGTTAGTGACACTACATCGTTGAATCTTAAGAATCAAATTTTTGATGTTCTTGTTCGTTTCAACATTCAAGTGCAAAACATGAGGGGTCAAGGGTATGATGATGCTAATAACATGCGTGGTGCTTGGAATGGACTACAAGCATTATTTCTTAGAGATTGTCCATATGCATATTATGTCCATTGTTTTGCCCATCGTTTACAACTCACGTTGGTTTCAGCAGCTAGGGATGTCACAGCTATTAATTCATTATTTTCAGATTTGGACAATGTTATTAATATGATTAGATCATCTCGTAAGCGCATCAATGAGTTGAAAAGCTCCTTAAAAAAAGAAATTGAACATTTGTTGGAAATTGGAGAACAAGAGACTAGAAGTGGGGCTAATCAAATTGGTAACTTGCAACGAGCTGGAGGTACTCGTTGATCTTCTCATTACAACTCTGTAAAGAGTTTGATTGATATGTATGCTGCAACTTGCAAGGTGCTTGAGTATCTCAGTGATCATTCTCCAAATGTAAGAACTTCGTCTGAAGTGGGTGGTGTATACAAAAAATTGACAACATTTGAATTTGTATTTATTTTGCATTTAATGCGCAGAATGTTGGCAATCACAAATGTGCTTTGTCAAGCCTTTCAGAAAAAAACTCAAGACATCTTAACTGCTATGAGATTTGTTCATACTACAAAAATCATCATTCAAGAATTGAGAGAAAATAGTTGGGAAGAATTTCTTGAAGAGGTGAATTGTTTTTGTTCAAAAAAGATATACATATACCTGACTTTCATAGCTCATACATGGTTGGTCGTTCTCGTGGTCGTGAGTATCCCACCATCGAACATCATTACCACTTCGATATTTTTTAATGCAGCCATAGATTTTCTGATGACGGAGTTAGATACAGTATTTAATGAGACATCATTAGAACTCCTTTCTCTCGGTGTGGCATTGGATCTGAAAAATTCTTTTGAATCATTTAACATGGATAATATTTGCAAGCTTGCAGAGAAATTTTATCCTCAAGATTTTACACAGCAAGATATTTATAGTTTGAAAGTTGAGTTGCAACATTATCAGCATGATGTGATTTTCGAGCCTCGATTTTAAGTATCTACACTTTCTGATTTATGTCAAGAATTGGTTGCAAGTAGAAGATCGAAGAGTTACGTCAATTTGACTAAATTGATTCGTCTAATATTGACACTGCCTGTTTCAACGGCTACCGTAGAGCGAGCATTTTCTGCAATGAAACATGTGAAGACGGAAATTCGTAACAAAATGGATGATCGTTTTCTTACTGATTGTATGACACTTTACATTGAATGAGAATTTTCTTTGAATTTAGATTTAGATCCTATTATTAATGAATTTTATGCTATAAAGCATCGTCAGGTACAACTGTAATTGATAATATTATATTATGATTTTTTTTGTTATTTATGAATTTTATTCGTACATTAAATTTCTAAAGTTTTGCCCCCCGTAACATTAATTCTTGGCTCCGTCCTTGGGTGCGAACCAAATAATGAGAGAGACTGGGGGCTTAAAAATGCAAATTTTGAAAGTTGGAGACCAAGTTATTACAAAAGCTACAAGATACTAGTGAAATTTTTTTGCTTTTATGTGAATTTTTAGCTCGAACACCTTCCCACGTCTACAAGTAAATGACTATTTATTACTTGCTTCTATAGTAAGATAAGACTGCGGAAAGATGTGTAAAAAGTAGAGTTCGAGAAAAAAACTAAGGTACAACATGAGAACTCGAGTACCACTCATGTACATCTTATTACAAAAAGGCGAATATGTGATTTGACATATTATCTAACTCCCATATCGGTCAAATAAAAAAATATTGATTTGGAAAAAGCAACTGGAATCTAAAACTTTCAAAGGACAGCACTACACGACATTTTTTTCCAAAATGTACCAGGCAGATTAGAAAGAGAAAAAATAAAAACAAATACAAATACAAAAAATATGTAAATTTTACAAATTAAGCGGCTACGATAACTCGGGGTCTTAGACAATTGCATAACTTAATGAACTTGCCAACTCTTAAAACGGCTTCCCGTGAAACTTATATGAAATTATTGAATATTAAAACAAGATTACCAAGCACCTCTTTTCCTACATTTAACTTTGATATGACTTATTAAACATGCATCGAAAACAATTTCTTTAATAGCTTTTCAAAGCACTCGTTCAAACTTTTCTTTTATAATAATAGTAATAATAATAAATTTAAGGAGAGTGTGTGAGCCTCGAAGATGGTTTAGGCGGATTTTTAGTAGTATTTATAAAGAAAAACTAGGTTAATTAAGCTTGGGCCTTATATTAGTAAGTTATAGATATATAACTGAAGCATATCTATTATTTCAATGCATGAAATCTATAAGTATAATTTATCAATTATTGGAAAATTTAAAATTTTCCTACAAAAATCAGTATTTTTCTCAATTGCACTTTAGTCCTCAATTGCTTAGCTCATCGTTTAAACTTTATCGATAAGCGTCAAAACTTTTTTATTTTTTTTATGACTCGGATATCCAAGTTTCGCCTGACTAATTTTGAGGAGTGGTGGCTTTCCCCCTTAGTTCGCCATCGAGGTAAATCCGAATGTGAACATAGTTTATACACACTTGGATTGGACATTCGGGATGCGGTTCTCCTCCCTGTAAACCTCCCTTTACGAGCATCAAAACTTTGTTTCCAAGCTTTCCACGACACTTATTGTTATTATTTGTGATAAGTTCTTTATTTTCCTGGCTAAAAAACTTTTTTAGTATTATCACTTATGGCATCAACAATGAAAATTTTCCATTTAACTCCTCAAAATTTCATGTCTTGTAATTGAGGTCCTATATGAAAATGCATGCTTGTTCAGGGTGTTACATGCAAAAAGTGCTAAAATAAAATATCAAAAAGATGTGTTAAATACCACAATAAGAGTGTTAAGATTTTTCCATTTTCGTTAGGAATGAGTAAAATTTCCAAAATCTATATAGCAAGGCAGAACTTGCCATACAGGGGCAGACCCATCAAGGGTCGAGCAGGTGTAGTCGTCCCTACTGAATTTTCAAAAATCTTCAATTGGACTTTTTTAAATTTAAATTTTCAATTTTTTTTTATTTCATTCACAATTCATTTTAGCAAATTTTTTTGTCTTGTCCCCATTGAACCATAATAATGGGTCCGCCCCTGTTACCATACATATACATATTGCTTCTAGGGAAACAACACATTATTTGGTCATTTAAATAATAAATCAAGAATCCAACTCTTTTAGATTGGCGCTCGATTTTCAGTGTTAAATTGAAATTTAGGTGGATTTTCGAGTTAAAAATATGAAAGAGCCGGAGAACCAAGTGTTTAAAGTTTTCATTCATCATATCTTACATCTTTCTTGTAATCGTAGAGCATTCCAAATACATGAAAATGAATAATTATTATGAAAATCTATATCTCTTTGTTATCATATAAAATGGTAAAATATATTTAATTACACATGTTTGTCATCGCTCAATTTTTTTCTTTTATCGTATCTTCAAATTTGTATCCAGTCAAATTAATTTATTTTTGGTCCAGCAGATTTTACTTTCAAGCGATTGAATGCAATGAACATGACATTTAAAGTAAGTCGTACCAAGTTGACATATCACACGATAGATGGTCAATGTTGGATCCTACATTGACCGAACTTGTTGACATGTAGGATCTGGCCCAAAAACTAAATTTTTTCTAAGATTTGGAATTGTTCAACTCACAAAAGTTTATCTGTATTTTAGAACAACTCTAAAATGGATTGTCAACGAGTTTATGAACCTCATAATATTATTTGTTCCGTGTTATACATTTTAATTAAACCTAGGTCACACTTCCACAATCGACACAATTCTATTGCAACAACTATTCAAACACATGCTAATGCCCTTGTATCCACTCTTCTCTTAATATTTTATTTTAAAATAATTTTTTGCAAAATGTACTCTATTGGGTTTCCGCCTAATCTACATCTACAATATTAAAAGTGAGGATGATGGAGAAACTTTTAAATACCAAATTTAACCATACATATTTATCTATACGCCCACTATATCCTCATAATTGGAATACCAATTTAATTAGTGTTTATCATTTGATCTAGAATTAATATAATTTATGGAGTGAAATATTTAATATATATTTATCACTTTGGATTTGAATTAATATAAGAAGTGAAACTAACATTCAATTATATAAAATAAAATAAAATAAATCAGTGACTTACCATTCAATTGATCATTTTGTTCTTACAATTTTTATTTTCCACCAACAAATTAATTTTTATTTTTCATCAACAAAATCCTTATTAATTTTCATGATTTATATTATAATTTATGCAATGAGTTTTTTATTTTTCATCAATAAAGGAATTTTTAATCTTCATGCTTTACATTATAATTTATCAATTAAGTTATTATTTAATTGAGGTTACAAATATTTTAAAGGTTGCATTAATATGTTAATGAGGACATTCAATGAATAAAAAAGAAATTACATACGAAAATTCAATGACTAACAGTCAATTGATTTTTTTCTATACAATTTTTTATTTTCATTAATGAAGCCCTTATTAAGAATTTAATTAATATTTATCATTTGATTTAGAATTAATATAAGTGGTGAAATATTTAATTGATATTTATCATTTGGGTTAGAATTAATATAAGGAGTGAAACTAACATCCAGTTATTAAAAAAAATAAAAATCAACGGGAATTTAGTGACTTATCATTCAATTGAGTATTTCGTTTTTACAATTTTTTTCATCAACAAAGCAATTTTTTTATTTTTCATCAACAAAACTCTTATTAATCTTCATGATTTACATTATAATTCATCCATTGAGTTTTTATTTTTCATTAACAAAGCAATTATTATTTTTCATCAACAAAACCCTTATTAAGCTTCATGATTTACATTATAATCCATCCATTAGGTTATTATTTAATTGAGATTACAAAATTGAAAGGTTGCATTAATATATTAATGAGGTAACAAATGTGCTAAATGTTACATTAATATATTAATTGGGACATTCGATCCCTTATTTAAAAAAAAAAAAAAAAAAAAAAACTACGTTTTAATTTATTCAACAATTTCGCATTATATACATAATTTCATAAAAACTTAAAATTTTCCCTTTAACAATATCAATTACCTCTATTATTTTAAAAAATGGTATTAGTAATTCAAAATACTACGTATATCATTAATCGATACATAAGATGTGAAACGCACGTACTTATTACTAGTTAATACAAAACTCGCAAATCTCGAAGAAAGCACAAAGCAAAAGTTTATAGAAATGAAGATTGCTTCGACTTCCTGCCATCATAATTCATGCATCACGTTTTATATAAAATTTAAATTGCAGTTACATAAAAATAGGGTTAAAAACCTGAATGGTTCCCATACTTTACAGTGTACAGAAAAGTCCCCGAACTCTAAATCAGACTTTGTTAGTCCTCAAATTTAATGCTCGAAACCCACTAATCCCAAAAAAGAATTTTGTCCAAAAATTGCTGGACTACCTACGTGGACAACAAAAGACATCTCATGTTACATTTATTTGCACCTAATAACAAAATCGCACCATTTTTTTTGAAAAAAAAAATACTTATTTTGTACTTGAAGAGTGGAAGTGCTTCAAAAAAAACTATGCGATTTTATTCTTGTTGGCGTATTAGGTGGCAAAACAATGTTAGATGATATGCTTCGTTTTCAATTTGTTATTTATGTTGGACGTTCAATAGTAATTTTGAACGAAAATCTTTTTTGGGACTCACTTGATTCACGATTTAAAATTAAGGGACTACCAAAGTCCAGTATAAAATAAAAACCTTTTTTTGCACACAATAAAAGTTTGGGGACAATTCAAGTTTTTCACCCCATAAAAATAATAATCACATTCATGTGCAACTTAATGTGCCTCATTGCATGTGCAACAAGTGTGATGTGATCTCCTATTCGCTGTGGACAAGAGTTATAATGTTCACCGTGGACGTGATAATATGTGATGTTGTCATGTTTACAGCAAACACTGTAATTCCTATTCACCGTAGACAGAAGATCAAATTAGTAAGGGTCGATTTGATGAAATTTTTGTGTTGTTAAATGATTAATCAAACTTCATCTTTAATCATATTTTCGTTCATTCATAATTTTTATTCACTTTTTCATCCCATATTTCATGAACTCACTAAGTTCTATCAACTTTTAATACTATCACATAATATATTATGTGTTTGATTAATTTAAAAAGAAATATATACGAGATATATTTATTTCTCGTCATCTTGAATTGTGGGTTACAACAATGTTAGTTGCTGATGTATAGCATTGTTTT